TTAGTGGCACCTTTCATCCCATCTTCGTGGTCACTCGATGAAGTTACGGACAACAATGTCCAGGCTGAATCTTCGTTGTGAATTTTTCACGCAGAGGGTAGTGGAGAAATGGAACGATCTCCCTCAGTCAGTCGTGGAGGCTACGTCTCTGCACCTCTTCAAGAAACGCTTGGATGGCTATTTGTGTCCCCTGATTTTCCCCGACGTTCTGAATCTGAACTAATACCCCACAACCCGCAAATATTTTTTTCGTATATAATGCTACTCAAATTAATCAAGTACTGTTTTAGTAGCGAATATTTTTGTGTTCGTGTACAGTTATTTCTAACGAGCTGACATGTAATGAATAGGGTTTTCAAAGGCTTTGCCTATTATCCTTACCAAATAAACTGTAATAGACTGAAAATAAACTGAGATAATAACACGTATTTTCCGTCTGAATAAGTCTTCACTATCATCATCTGCGGCCTCTGCACGTCACGACATAGTCAATTCACTAGAGTATTCGACTACTCTTGATGCTGAGATCTTTAGTCGCATCAATGCGCCTAATACAAAAACGCCCCTATCGACTCCCTCAGCAACCGCTAGTAAGCCTAGGCATGTCCCTAATTCAAAGGTGAATCCAAGTGCCGTGTCAGCCACGCAGACACTGTGTAACTCCAGGTCCATCATAAAGTCTTTTCCTCCGAAATCGCCTAACACTGCCTCAAACACCACGACCGAAAATCTAGCGTGTTTCCAAATATTCCATTGCCCTCATATCAGGGCGGTTAGGTCAAATATGTAGACAAAATACCTTTTAATGGAATTCTTGCTCCAATGGAAGCAGTGCATCCTCACCCCCAACATGTTTCCTCCACGGCCGTTTTACGAATGCATCCCTCATGCTAATGTCCATACTGAGTCAGTTAAATCATCCCGTCCTCAGCTTCGTTCCGGTGGGCAGCCCAGCACTGGGCGATGTAGCCCTTAGAAAGAAACGGCCTTTCTCCTCAAACTTTTTACTCCAAATTCGAGACCCCTGCTAAATAAGATGACTTCGTTTTAGACTCTGGTGTTCGTTTTTTGTCCAGATATTGTGGGATAACTGAGCCTTAAGCATCAGCTTCCGTAACAGCATCCCAACTATCTCTTCTCAGCTATACTTGCATTCGAAATGATCATCAGGACAGCCGTGGTGGGAGCAGATGCGTCTACGTTAAGCGAACATTCACATTTCCTCCACTGGACCTCCCGAATTTTTGCGCAGTAGAAGGCAGCTGCTGGCTCCAACTTGCACTAAAATATAAGTTCTCCTCAATGGTTGACTGTGTCTATCACACTATCAGCGTCAACGACAATTTTGATCGTTTACTCTCACAGGCATTTCATGCTGCGGCCGACTTCGGCTTTAAGTATCAATCGGCTTCGGGTGACATCACCCTTCCTGAAGTCCGCTGGTCTCCGCCTTCAGGCCCCAGAAAGTTCGAAGACTTACTCGAGGCTGTGGATGTTGGGATGTGGAATCAGGTCTTCGATTTTCTCACCCGCGCATACTTGACATAATGTTCTGTAGAGGCTGTAGTCCATGGTCAGTGTCATCCCTAGGGCCTATCAAGGGCTCCGACCATAGCATAGATGATTTAAAGTTGCAACTCGAGGCTGACAAAACGTTGTCACCAAGGTATAGCTTTTTCCGCGATTTCCGATCAACTCGCTCAACCGAATTATTAGAACGTTTTAATTCCTACGACTGGACTGATTTCTTCCTTAGTTCGGATGCAAATGTTTGCACTGCAAAACTGTACGAAAGTTTGGATCCGTTTATTTCTCGTTGTGTCCTCCGTAAGAAAATTATTAATCTTGGGGATGAGATTTTCCTGCCCATATCCTTTCGTCGCAGATTGCGCAGACTTCCTCGTCGATTGCATCTTCAGAACGACGTTTCCATTCTGCCCTTGATTTGCAATATTTTTGAGCGGGCTAAGAGATTGTCTGAAGAAAAACAGCTAGCCGAAGAGGTCCACTTTACTGAAAACCATTCGTTAAGTGTCTCGAAACTTTTCTCTAGAAAAATACGAACTCAGAGAAAGACGCAGTATCCCATCCTTCGAGACGATCTCGGAAATCCCATAGTTGATGCCCAGTTAACCGCGGATAGCTTCAATGATTTCCTGTCCAAAACGTTTATTGAAGACTCGACCACTCCGCTTCCGACCATCCAGTCATTGACGGGGGCAGTTCTAGAAACTATAACTTTCACTCTGTGGGATGTGACTGTTGCGATTCGGCGTTTTCGTCAATCTTATAGTCCAGGCCCTGATGGTGTCCCAGTAAGCATTTTAAAATCCGATGCCAACACGATCTTCCCATCCCTCTTATGCAAGATATTTAATTTTGCTCTTGAAAGTGAAACTTATCCTACCTTTTGGTAGGAATCACACATTTTGCCCATTCCTAAGCACGGCAAATCTACGTCATTTGATGACTTTCGGCCAATAAACATCCTCCCCCCGGTTTCGAAGATCTTACAGACATTGGCCAAAGATAAGACGATGCGTCACTTAACAGTGAATAACCTACTGAGTGCTGCTCAACATGGATTCCTCAAAGCTCGGTCTTGTGACACCTGTCAACTCTCTTTCTTTAACTATGTTCTCCAATCTAGGGACCATGGTTTTGCTCTTTACGCAGTATATTTCGATTTCACCAAGGCTTTTGACCGTGTTGACCATGCTCTTCTTCTCTTGAAACTGTCCTCTTTCGGACCAGGTCGCAGTGCTAACAATGCTGTTGAGACTGCTGATCGCGTGCTTGACTCCATACTGTAAAGAAGATGAAGACCCGATCTCTGGGACAGTGGGTTTATTAGTCTGAGCTTTCGGTCTCGTACAGGAGGCCATCGTCAGTGACTGTGAGAAGGCAACATCAAATGAGTGGTTTTTGTAGTCACGCCATGAAGGGGGGGGAGATATGAGTGCAGAGGGTGGTATTCGCGATAAGTTGCGTCCCACGCCGTCTCACGGTGGCGTGACTGCCTGCACCCTTGGCTGGAAATTGGGTCTCGCCCCTTGGCCGCGGGAACGGAGCGCGTGATAGCAGGGGGGTATATCAACGTGCCTGTTGATAGCGTTGGTGTCAGACACCCAGGCCTCTAACAGTTCTCGTCCTGTCTTATAGCTGGCCCGCGCCACTATCCGCGTGCTCGCAAAGTTGAATTCGTGGCCTTCCTCCAGGGTGTGAGTGGCGACCTGAGACAACGGGTCGCCTCTCCGGACCGCCCGTTTGTGCTCCGTTATTCGTGAGCTAAGTCGTCGTCCGGTTTGTCCAGTGTAGTGGCGAGGGCAGTCCCGACATTGGATCTGATAGACGACGCCCGATTGTTTACCCACGTCTAGGCGATCCTTCACTTGCATGATTTTGCTGCGCATGGTCGCTGTCGGACGGTGAGCGATACCCACGCCGAGCTCTCCAGCGATACGTTCCGTCGCTTCGGATACGTTCTTTATATATGGCAGAGGGTGCCAGAGTGTTGGTGGCTCTCCTCCGTTTGTTCGCCGTGGGCGCGTGCGGAGGCAGCGGCTGACGAAGCTGTTCGGGTATCCATTCCTTGCCAGTTGGTCCCAAAGATGCCGAATTTCTCGTACTCGTCCCTCTGGTTCACTGCAGTGCGTTTTTACCCTCTGGAAGAGTGTCCTAACACAGCTGCGTTTATGCGCCATTGGGTGGTTACTGTGGTAGTTGAGAATCTGAGTCGTGTTAGTCGCCTTTCTGTACACTGTGGTGTTGAGTTCGCCGTTGGGTGTGCGTGTGACGAGAACATCAAGGAAAGGCAGCTGTTCGGCATGCTCTTCTTCCCTTGTGAACTGGATGTCTGGGAAGATGCCGTTGAGCAGGTCTTGGAAGTCGGCCAGTCTGCTCCTTTCAATTATGACGAACGTGTCGTCCACGTACCGGCGCCAAAATGCAGGTTCATAGTGGTCGAAGGCGACTTTTTCCAGTTCCAGCAGGACTAGTTCTGCAACCAGGCTGGATATTGGCGAACGCATCGGCGTTCCTTTGATCTGCTCGTATGTTCTGCCATTGAAGGTGAAGAAGGTTTGTTGGCAGAAAGTAAACAGTTGCAGTAAGTGGTCGATTTTTAGGGGTTTGTTCGTCTCATCGTAATTCTCTTCGAGTCGTTTGCGAAGAACGTCGCGTGCCAGGTCCGGTGGGATGGACGTGAATAATGAAACCACGTCAAAGGACACGATGATCTGCTCCGGTCGGACAACTTTTCCTCGGATGACGGCCAGGAATTGGGAGGCCGAATTGATGGAGGTCCTTGAGCCTTCTCGGAGAAAGTTAAGTTTTCGGGCCATCCACTTGGATAGATTGTAAGTGGGGCTGCCTTTCAAGGCAACGATCGGTCGAAGGGAAACATTGGGCTTGTGGATTTTGGGTAATCCATAAAACCGGGCTAGTGCCGTGTCCGTTGGTTTCATCTGTCGCCATTCGTCCAGCGATATAGCACTGTTTCGCTTGAGTCTGTTCAGGAGTCAAGTTAGTTGACCAATCATCGATTTGGCTCGCGAGGGAGGCGTGGACTTGTAGGACTGTTGGTCGTCTAGGAGGGCTTGTGCCTTTTCGTTGTAGTCAACGCTGTCCCAGATATCGGGTCTTCATCTTTTTTACAAAAAGAACCTGGGATTCGCATATTCGCTTCCATCCGTGACTCCATATTGTTCCCGAGAACTGTCGTGGAAAGGAAGCTGAAAAATCTCGAGGAAGCAAAGTCCTCGGGTCCGGACAATATACCGGCCAAATTCTTGAAGGAACTGGCGAATGAACTTTCCAAACCACTGGCGCACATCTTCCGCTCGTCATTCAAATTAGGGAGGTTGCCATCGGAATGGAAGACAGCAAATATCTTTCCGATATACAAGGGCGGGGCTCGCACTTATGCTAACAATAACCGGTCTGTTAGTCTAACCTGCATCTGCTGTAAAATAATGGAGGCAATAGTTAAGAAAGCAACTATGGAGTTCCTGGAGCAGAGCCATTTAATCTCAGACCTGCAGCACGGCTTTAGACAGAACCGCTCGTGTCTTTCCAGTTTATTGCTCTCGACGGAGCAGTGGACTCGCGCACTGGACGAGGATGGGAGGGTTGATGTCATATACACAGACTTTAAGAAGGCGTTCGACAGCGTCCCACACAAACGCCTAATCTACAAACTTTCTGAAATTGAGATAAGAGGAACGCTGCTGACATGGATTACAGATTTTCTTACCGGGAGATCTCAAACCGTGTGCATTGAAGCCTCAAGGTCAACTCCTACTCCCGTTCTAAGTGGTGTACCCCAGGGCTCCGTCTTAGGGCCGTCGTTATTCCTGGTGTACATTAACGACTGCGTCGACCTGGGATGCAGCGCCATCATGTTTGCTGACGATGTTAAGCTGTGGAGACCCATCAGATCTGCCGCAGACTGGTACGCGCTTCAAGACAGTCTCAACCGCCTGAACAGTTGGTCAGCTCGTTGGCTCCTCAATTTTAATGTGGACGAATGTGTGGTCCTGAGACTCCGTACCAAAAAGACCAGTAAGGAGGACGATTCCTTTCAGTACGTCCTTGGTGGTCAGCCCCTTTCAAATGTTGTGGAACCGAAAGACCTGGGCGTCCTAATGACCACCTCGCTGAAACCATCATCACAGTGTCAAAGGGCAGCCAAAAGTGCGATAAGGGTGTTATTTGCGCTGAGGCGAGGATTTGTGCAGATCGACAAGGAGCTGTTCGGAAAAACCTATGGGGCATTCGTCTGGTCTCACTTAGAGTATGCAGTCCAGGCCTGGCGACCGTGGTTGAAGAAAGATTATCAACGACTGGAAAGAGTACAGGCGATGGCTACGAAGATGGTCAAGAATCTTCATCATTTGCCTTACGAAACCAGGCTGACCGAACTAAATCTGTTTCTTCTAAATTACAGGCAACTGCGCGGCGATCTCATTCAAACCTACAGGATTGTCAGAAGCCGTGAGTATGCCCTAGACTTTGATGAATTCTTTGAATTGGCCCGGACTGACCGTCTGCGTGGTCATCCGTTCAAACTGCAAAGGAAGTGGGCTCATTCTGACGTCCGACGGAACGCCTTCTCTCACAGGGTCATCGGGGCATGGAATGGACTCCCTGATGGCGTCGTTCTTTCCGAAAGTGTCAAATCCTTTAAGTGCAGACTAGACGCTCATTTGTTCAGAACCTACTGTACATATAATAATGATTGTTTTAGCGGCGGCAGTTTGCGCCTAGCTCACACTTACCGCTAACACCTTAACTTTTCGCATTTGCTGATGTAATTGATGACTTTATTTCTGTTTATCGATATGAATAGGGAGCTCAAGGGCGAAAGCCTCATTCCCTTAATAAACTGACTTAAACTGACTTAATATCTGCATACCTGGGAGTTCGTACACAACGCGTTAAGATTTACAATACTATCTCCAACCCCACACGTGTGAGGAGTGGACTCATTCAGGATACTGTACTCGGCCTGCTTTTATTTTGGCTTTTCGTTAATGATGTACCCGATTTATTTCAGAATGGTAAGCCTTTCATGTATGCCGACGATCTCAAAGTTGCATATCGGTATAAGCCGGCAGATCATGACATCGTGCTTTAGCTCCTAAAGAGCGATGTATAGGCTTTCGCCCAGTGGTGCCGCACATGGCGCCTTTCTCTTTCTTGGCATAAGTGCTCAGTCATGGTGGTTGGCGACGACCGCCAACCTCAACTAAGTATTGACGGTCACGCCATAAATTTGCCTGGGGTTATTAAAGATCTGGGCGTATCATACTCCAAGAGCCTCAATCTCTCGTAGCACTGTGCCTTGATAGTCTCCAAAGCACGTAGAACGACCGGGTTTATCCTCCGAAACTTTAAAACTAGGAACATTTGAATGCGCCTGGTCTGGAATACTTTTCGTTTTTATTTAGCCTCATGCGTGGTACTGAGCGGAAAAAAATAGAATCCGTTCAACACTTTTTTTACGAAGAGAATTTTAACCCCGGAAGACAGACATTTTTTCTTACCAAGAACGTTTCTGGCTTAGGGCTTTGATCCTTTATGGTTCCGTAGATTACGAAAGGGACTATTTTTGCTATTTAAACTCTTATATAATCACACATTTAACCCACTCGCATCTTTAAGACATCCTACTCATCCACGACGTAACAGTCACCGTGAAGTCTTTTTATTTCTTCCTCTGGAACGTACTGTTAAATATCGTCGGTTTTTTCTGTAAATGCATTTGCTGTTTTTTTCCGAGTTCCTGAAGTGGACCGGCTTGTGTTGGCAAAGTTCCGAATAAACTGTCTGCAATAAGAAGCTAGTTGAAGGAATCAATGGAGTTGCTGCTGGTTTATCGAGGTTAGCCATGTGCGAATTTGCTTTAGCCTATCATAGACGGTAGCTATACGGCCGGATAAGATTTTTTGACCCGACATAGTTAAATATGAGCGTAGGAAGACGAATTTATGGGGTGGGGGGATTGACATCAAGCCGGCATTGCGGAGCGCTTTTAAAACCTCCTGTAGATTAGGGTTGTCTTGGTCAATTGTCTGTCCAAATACGACAATGTCGTCCTGACAGACAAAGCATTTGACTTGAGTGAGGTGCCGGAACACCTGATACAGCAACCGCTGAAAGATTGCAGCGACATAAGAAAGCCCGAATAAAAGTGTCTGGAATTCATACAGACCTTACGGCACAGTGAACACTTCCGGGTGTATTTCGACTTGCCAATATACTGACTTAAAATATAAAGTGGAGAACCATGTCACCCATCCCAGCGTGTCAAGGGTATCGCCTAGTTGAGGTAGGGGAGGCGACTCACAGCTGGCGACGGCGTTCAGGCGGCGATAGTCAATACACAGTCGCAAGGAACAGTCTTTTCTGGGTGGATGGAGCCCACCTGGAGGAAGAGGGTTGAGTAATCTGTGCTTTTAGAAGCTCGTCCAGAATTTTACCATCCTCTAAGCGGTACCGAGTCACTATGCGTCGTCGAGGTTTCCAGACGAGTTTGACATCACCAGTGTTTATGATATGTTGCACCTTTTAGGTGCGGCCGACGGAATCGGTCGTCTAAGTAAACACATCATGGAGTTACCAAGAAGATGGGATGAAAGGTGCCACTAAAACATGTCCTCAAAGCTAAGTGCGTGCTCAAGACCATGCATTATCTTGTAGACGAGGATAAGATCACCTCTTTGCTGTCTGTAACACAGAGGGAATAAATTAAGGCAATTCAGTCTGTCTGTGTAGGATAGGCATTTTAGACCGTTTACCAGCTTTGTTGCATCGTTGTACCCGCTTGAGGCATGCTTGGTCCCTCATTAACCATGGCGCCATGCTTGTAGTCCATATTCTAAGTGGGGCCGAACAAAAGTGCCGTAAACTCTCCCAAAAAGGTCTTGGTCAAAATTCACGAAAGCACTTTTGATTGCATGCAGCACTCCCATGGCGTTTTTTGCAGCCTTGTGGCACTGCAGCGTTGGTTTCAGGTTGTTCTGTATCCAAACCCCGAGATCCTTCTGTGAAGATTCTGCGGGGAGCCTTATATCTTTCAGGTGATATGTCCTCAGGGTCTCATTTGAATGAGAGTTTGTTGGACGCAGATGAAGGACGGCACACTTCTCCAGATTGAAATCTAGAAGCCGTTTCTCCGACCACGCTTGCAGTCGGTGCAGATTATCTTGAAGGGATCTCTGATCATTCGGTCCCTTAATGACTTGCCAGAGTTTAACATCGTCTGCAAACATTATTTTGCTGCAGTCGAGTTCCTGAAGGCTGTCGTTAACGTAAAGGATGAAGAGCACTGGTCCCAGAACTGAGCCTTGTGGCACACCACTGGTCACGTTCACCCATTCTGACATATCATCTCCGATAGAGACATGTTGTTTCCGACCAACCAGAAACGCCCTAATCCAGTTCAGAAGATCTCCCCGGATGCCGATGGCGCTCAATTTGTGAAGAAGACGTTGGTGCGGGACAGTGTCAAAAGCTTTGCGGAAATCGATGTACACGACTTCGACCTCAAAACCCTCTTCTAGAGCCCTGGTCCAGATCTCCAGACAAGCTAGCAGATTTGAGAGGCAGGGACGTCTTCTCCAGAAGCCATGTTGAAAATCCTGCAAGATGTAATTTTCTTCACAAGACTGCTCTATAGCGCTCTTACCTATATTTCCACCGTTTTGCAAGGGAGGCGATTTAAGCTAATAGGCCTAATGTTGCTTGCTCTCATCCTGCTACCGACCTTATGCAGTGGAACGAGGTTAGCTGTCTGTCACTGTGAGGGCAGCCTTTCTGTTCTCATTGACAGTTCAAAGAGATTCGAAAGGGGCTTTGACAGCTTTGACAGCTCCGTTGATAGCTCCTTAAGTATTAGTCCGTGAATTCTGTCGGGTCCGGGAGACTTATCAGGTTTATTTGACTGAGGATGCGTCTTACGTCGTCGACGGAAAAAGCGACGGTTTCAATGACGGCAATATCTTGGCACATTTGAACCTCCTGGCTGTCTCGGTCCATTTCAAACTGCTGATTTTCTTCTGAAGACTCCTCAGTAAAAACCCCTTGCAAAAACTGAGACAGTAATCGCACTTTTTGTGGTCCTTCGACTAATAAGTTTCCGAGGCTATCCTTTAGACAGGCAATTACGTCCCTATGTTTCCTCCTACTGCGGTTGTACCCGTCAAACTTCTTGGGACATGTACTGGAATCTGCTATTAGTCGGCGTTGGAAAGAAGTCCTAGCAACCCGTATTTATTTGCGGCATATATTGCGCTGATCCTTATATTCGGCGAATGACCTTGGAGCTCGAAGTTTCAAATACTTTTTCCAGATTCACTGTGTCCTCCTCATGGTCTTGTTGTCGTCGGATTGACCCACGGCGTCGACAGAATGCCTCTGAATCTTCTGTGTCGACCAACCAGGTTTTCTTCAAATAGTGCGTCTATTTGCGTTAAACTCACACTTCCAAATATTTCTGCGCCTTTTCATTTTTGGTTTTAAGTTCGATAGGAGAGAGCACATGCAGGCAAAAGCAATATGATCGCTTAAACCGAGTGGAGGTTGTGAATTCACTTCCCTTATTAGTCCTTCTTCTTTTCTACTGAAAACGAGATCTAAACAATTAGATAGTTGTCCTCCCCTCATTCTTGCTCCGAATTTTATGTGTTAAATGATTTATTCATTTAGGGAGATTTGTAGTAGCTTGTGGTCAAATGACGTGGACGGGGCGTTTGTTAGGGGAATATTCCAGTCTGTCCCTAGAGCGTTAAAGGCACCCAGAATTAGTAAGTTCTCCTGCTTACATAACAACTCCATTACACTAAGTAATTCCATATCGGCGATTTCATTCGAGCTAGGAGGCCGATAGACAACACACAGGTTTAGTGTCAGTAGTTGTTTGATACATATCTTGCATGAAGTTATTTGAAAATTTCGCGACGCCCCATCATTTATTTCTCGCTGAAAGCACGGAATTTCATTTGACACATAAATCGCTGTGCCTCCTCCTCTACGCTGAAATCTGTCACAACTGACCGGTTGGCAGCCTTCAAGACCGACTTCGCTACTACTCATTTCCTCAGTCAACCATGTCTCTGTTAGGACGATAATGTGGGGCTTCTGTTCAGAGTCCAGTAATCTGAGTTTATGTAACTTGTTGAGGAGACTCTGACAGTTAGTGCAATAGGTTTATAGACATCGGTCACTGGGGCGAGCAGCCTCAAGCGTTGGCACCTTTGCATCAGTTAGGCTGTCAGAATGACGGCCTTCGGCCAGAGAAATGTCCTTTTGACCTGAATTATTTGTCCGTATTTGATTTGTTGGTGTATTTCGCCGCTGCTTCTCCGCTTTTTCAGCTCCGTCATCAGCTCTCTCATTTTCATTCACCCTTTTGGCTCGTAATCCGGCTGAAAAAAACTTCCGGATGATGACCCGGCAGAGATGATTTTCTCTGTAACAGGAGCTGTGTCTGTGCTTCAAAAATGACTTTTAGGGGTCAAGGCCGGGAAGTAGAACCGGATGCTGACTGAGTCTTCCCTATTCGGAATGCTTTGAGAACCTTAAGCGACTCATCGTATGTTAACAAAGCTTTCGCATATATTTTAAAAAGGTCTAAGTCATGCATAACTCTCACCGTTGAGATCGTCGACGTTGATTCGGGTACTCCTTTTATAACTACATTTTGCTTGCAACTGAATCTAGCGCTCGTTGTTGTCGCGCATCATTTCTCCAATTTACTTGTTTTGCTAGCTTCCGATGAACTAGCTATTGGGCTATCGAAATCGAGATCCGTGTACGATTCATTTATCTGCGTGTTGATAACACTTCCTTCTGTGTTTCCGATGTGTTCGTAGAAAAAGCTTACCTCAGTTTCTTTCGAAGCCTCCTCCTGAATATTCGGTCCACAGGGTGTTCCGATATCTTTATTGTTCACAATAGTTAGGAGCCTCCGGAGATCCTTCGTAGGCCTCCTTGTCGTCCACATCCACTGGTCTGCGTGTACGCAAGCGGCCTTCGTTTTTTTGGACCGTACAGAGGTGTGCGTTGTTTTTCTGGGAAGATTCTTTGTTCTCTGAGTTCGCTTTGGCTAGTCTTTTTCTCGCCTAAGAGACTGCAATTGAACTGTGTCTAGTTCCCTGGACGAACCGTCGTCAGTGTCGGCGTTTGATATGGCTAAAAAGCCGTGGTTGCATAAGTTTTTTTTCGGATTCTGGATTGCCAAATTCGTCGACTTCTTATCTTCACGAAAGTGGTGAGTAAGCCTTCTTAAATTTTCTGCCTCCATTTTTAGACCTTTTAACTTCCCCTCCATTTTCGAAAATTTATGGATACGTCCAAAAAATGTGGTACAGCTTTCATCGTCTTATGTGACATCCCCCAACGTCACTAGACTTGTTGCTCGTTTTACGGGCATTGGTCTGACAGCAGAACGTCCAACAATGATGTCATTAATATCATGCTTAATACATGATGCATCATTTGTTTTGACGGCACTGGCGCAAGTCAGGTTTCCAAAGATGAATCGGTCGCAAAGACGAATCGGATTCTTAATACCCACAGGCCTTGAGGACGTCCAGTAGAAAGAAATCCCGATAAAAGTGAAATCTCCCGAGGTAGAAAATTTCAAACCAAATTCGAAACGCGCGCTGAAAACATCTCCCACAAAGTTTTCGCAATATCTGTGACGTCGTATTTGGAGTACGTCACACATGCCTGAAGACCATGGGCAGACCAAGAGGAAAACGGTTCGAAAGGATTCCAAACAATGGTTAATAAACTACCGAAATATTCATGCACGTTAAGACTTCATGGGACGCATCCTAAATTGAAAACACCATCACCAAATTCATAGGCAGACGCACAGGGATATTGTTCAAACATTCCGCATTGTGAACCTGTTGGATTGTAGTCCGGCATTTAGTGATTCAACCCACTATAGTACTGTGAATTCTTGTAGTTACGAGATTGCCTCCAAAGTTATAATGTGCTGTTAAAGCAGCAATATACTGAAACGGTTTGTGGGTACGCCTTGGTGCACGTCTTTGCTAGTTCAGAGGCTTGACTTTCTGGCGGTCAACTATGTGAATTTCGTTGAACAGGGAAAAAAATGATGGGCCACAAACTGGAGCGATTTACGCTAACATGCCAGGAACGAATCGCTGCTTCTGTCAGACGGAAATTAGTGTCAGCCCGGCTGTATTTCACGGTGATGTCAATTTTGCTCGCGTCTGTTACTGGTGGTGAGTAATTTACTTGATCGATGGAGCTTGCGGGCTTCTGACTTAAAATTCAGGCTTGTTTCGTCTGCTTGCCATAGGCATCATTACTCGAAACAACGCCGCTAGAAATGGTTTTAATTGAACGCGAAAAACGGGTTGCTGCATTGTTTTCGCAATCTCTTATCTCTTCTTATTTATCATGCGATTTTCAGACACGCTGGCTCGGTCGCCCGATTACGGGCTAGTGTTGCAATTGAGTGGATTTTTCAGAAATCCCAGCGGACACTTTCCACAGGGGTAAAGTAGGTTGACGCGCCTTTTCGGGCGAGTTGAGCGCGTTGTAGACCGAGGCGATTTAAGCCGCCAGACGGCGGCCTAAATTCCGGACAAAGTGCGTGCGTGCACCCTGTATGCGCGCGTTCGTGCAAAGGGACCCCCAGGCCTGACGTGCAAAGTGCACTTGGGCGAACATCAAGGAGGGTGTGTAGCAGAAAAGTTCCTTTCCTCGCACAGATCAAGCACTAAGCCAGTCAGGTTACTAGCCCTGCACTAGCTCGCAAGTCAAACGGGTTAGCAAATGTCTAGCCCTGGGCGATTTGGTGCTATCGAGTTCACGGTTTATAAGTCCCTCGAATTTGAGGGGGACAATAATTATTGCCCACCTCGAATTCGGGTGGTCTCGCTACGTATGTAGCATTATGTCATGCGCTCTACCTGATTGTTTAACTGTCCCGGTCCTTTTTACTATCCACTGACGGGCGTAGCACATAAGTATATCGCCGACTCAGCATGTATATTGATAATAGAAGCGAAGATGCGTGTCCGCGGACATAAATGAGAAGAAAAGGCGATCTCGGAAGCCATAGTTTTACTGTCGTGACGTTTCAAAAGCAAACAAGCTTCCATCGTCGGAAGTGAGTGTGGTTTCGCGCATCACAGTATTTATAGGTGAGTGACAGTCATGTGAAGACGGGTCGTCCTCTCATGTATATATATATATATATATATATATATATATATATATATATATATATGAGAAAGTGAAGGCTCTTCGGAATATTGAGTTGTACTCGTAAATTTTCAAGTCGGTGACACCGACCCGTCGTCAGACGAAATGAACAGAGGGAAAGTGAAGTCGGCAGACTAGGTCGGCTGGCGCGACAGGACAGACAATGACAAACAGACAGCTGATGGGTGAGAGGGGTGGGCACCTAGTTGTGGCACGCCGTGGGGCAGGGGAAGGGAAGGAAGAACCGTTAGGGCTCTCAGTGTTGGAGGCGGTGAAAACGTGGGGGGGAGGGGGGGTGGGGATTGCGAGTCAGTGGGAATGCGGGTGGCTGGTCATTGATGCAGGCGGCTGGTCACTGATGCGGGATGAGGTCGGGGGGCAACGCGCCGGCGTTGGAGGTGTTAGGGGGGTTTAGGTTGTTGTTCACCGTGTCGCAAGGGGGAGCGGAAAGGCGAAACAGCATACGTCTATGTGGCCGAGTGGGGGTTAGCAAATGTTGAGGTGTGGGAACAAGACAGTGAGCGTGTACGTAAGCCCTCGTAATGAGCGTCTAAATCGACGTGGCGGTTGATGCTGGTCGTGCCAGAATGCCAAGCTTCGAGGAATTCTCGCGCCTGTCTGGTGTTAGCCTTTGCGATCACTTCAGTGTCATCCCAATTGAAGCGGTGATCATGCTCAATGGCGTGCGCAAACACGAGGGACAGAGGGTCACGTCGGCGGAGGGCTAACTTGTGTTCGTTAATGCGAGTCCCAAGACATCGGCCTGTATGGCCAATATAAACACAAGGGCAGTTGGCGCACGGTATGCGGTAGATGACGCTAGTTAATTGTTCTTTGGGCACTGGGTCCTTTACTCGACATAATGTCTCGCGTAGGGAAGATGCGGGCTTATGGGCAATGGAGATGCCACAGCGTTTTAGTTGCCGGGAGAGTGCTTCAGAGATTCCCTGAATGTACGGCAGTGAATAGAATTTCTGCGACGCTCTATCTTCATGAGACTCGGGGTTTGGTAGTTGTCTCTGGCGTCTGAGACAGTTCTTTACGAAACTGGCAGGATATCCGTTGGAGCGGAACAACCGATGTAAGTAGGCCAATTCTTTCTTAAGTGAGTCATCACTGTTGCAGATGCGATAGGCCCGATGGAAAAGAGTGCGGACACAGCTTCGTTTATGGGCCGCAGGATGATTGCTCCCATAGTTAAGTATGATTTCGGCGCTAGTCTTTTCTGTGGACGCTTGTCGCTAGTTTGCCATCACGGCGTCTTTGTATGCTCACATCTAAGAACGGGAGGGTGTCTCCTGTTGCTTCCTCGCGGGTGAACTGTATAGCCGGGAAGACGATGTTTAAGCTCCGATGCAATCGGTCAACTTCCCTGGTCTTTATGATGACAAATGTGTCGTCCACGTAGCGGAGCCACATTTTTGGTTCGAAGGTGTGCACAACATCCTGTTCTAGTCGCTGCAAGACTAGTTCTGCAAGCAGCCCCGATATTGGGGTGCCCTTTACTTGTTGATAGTACTTGCCATCGAACTGACAATAATTCTTGAGGCAAAGCTTAAGCATGTCTAGAACATGTTCTGTTGGAATGCCAATGGGACTTTGTTCTAGACATCGGGCTACGCTGTCAATCGCTAGGTCGTGTGGTATTGAAGAAAATAGGGCAACAACATCGAACGATAGGATGCATTCGTCAGGACTTACTTCAAGGCCTTGGATCTTTTGTAGGAAAGCCTGAGAGTTTTTGATGCTGTATTGCGATCCATTTGCGAGGTGCTTTAACTGTCTGTATAACCACTTGGCAAGGTTGTAAGTAGGGGATCCAATAAGTGGCACAATGATCCTCAGCGGCGCATCTGTCTTGTGCACCTTCGGAAGGCCGTACGCACGTGCGATACGGGGGTCATTGAGGGTCATAGATCTGCTGTCATCGGGGCTTATGAGCTTCAATCGGGCAAGCTCATTCACTTTCTTCTTGATAGTCGCGGCTTGCTTTTTCGTTGGGTCTGCAGCGAGTGGTGCATAGGCTTCCCTGTCATCAAAGATTTGGTTTGCCTTGTTGACGTAGTTAACCTTATCCATGATAACGGTTGCTCCTCCTTTGTCAGCAGACATAATAACTATTTTGTCATCTGTCTTTAGCGATCGCAACGCCTTTTTCTCTTCGGTCGGTAGGGTTTGATGATGTTTCCTTTGTCG